TACTCTGTGACCTGCAACAGTGCAACACCGCCCCCTACGGTCATACGGTGGTCACATAATATGACGTCACTACGGATACTCGATGTTAAATTTTTAACCTCGATAGATGTCCTAGCAATCGATGGGGATGCTGTACATCTCTTTTGGTTCTGCTCGTTTAAATAAGTTTAAAGCTTGCAAACCAAGGCACATGACATAGTCTTATGTAAAACAAAGCAAAAGGTTGTGTAATAGTGTCTATTGTCAGTGGCATCAAAAAGAGCATTAAAAATGTTTAGAAAATGGCATTAAAAATGGAGCCCCTGCTGATATGGAAATTTTGGCTTTTGCCGATACCAATTTTGGGAGGGGAAGGCGACCACCGATAACCGATATATTGGCTGAAAACTTTTGAGCTTTGTCCACCCCCAAGAATCTTAAATAAACAGCGAGTGGAGCAATGCTTGTTTATTTAGAGCAGCTATTAGCAACCATGAAGCTAAGCAAATCAGATACACACTATACCTAGACCCATAGTAGGTTTACAAGTGATGCACTGGTCATAAAAACAGTCTTCCTAACATTCATTCACATTTTCTATCCTCCACTATTTGCCATAAAGTTATCAAGTGTGTTACACAAATATAAATTAAACAAAGAAACACCCTTCCCTGTTCATTGTTTTAACAGTCAGTCATATGGTGAAGGTCTAGTTAGTATGGACCGCAGCAGAGTTGAATTTCTTTGCAGAGAAGTAAAGATTTCAGACAAACATTTAATTTCATTGAGGACGACAAAGATAATGTTACAAACACTGATATATATTTACCTCTACATTAGATTTATTGTTCTGGATGAAGTTTTACAAGGCAATCGCCAATGCTACGTTATTTAAACGTTGGCTTTCTAACTTGAGAGGCACATAGCTAATGACAAGTTGGTTGGAAGATTGAAGAGAATTTATTATTGTTGATTTGTTTTAAAGATCAGATAAAATAATCTTACCGTGCTCTGTTCAGCAAAATATTCTACACAGTATTGCTCCCTTCTTCGTCTGTGCTGAACGTGAAAGTGCAACATAAGTGAACGGCAGTGACCTGAAAGTAGTCTTCGTGTGCCCTCTGCTGGATACATTGTACAATTACGGCTGGTTCACAGCATTTTAGGAGTGAAAATTGCTTTCATTGGTGCATAATGGGACAATTATCACTGATACCAATAGGTCCCCAAACTTCTATATTGGCCTAAATTATCTGCCCTACTGATGTATCAGTCAGGTTTTATTAAAATAACTAAATTTGATTGACTGATTTCTGCAGAAACCTAAATGAATACCGTGGTTGGGACTCCCAACTCTGAAAGCTGTTATGGATGTTATACAGTGGTAGCATGTTGTGCACAAACATGAGCTGTGCAGAATCTACAGCTACCTGGGTTCCCTCACAGATGAAGTTTTATGCTTTCTTCTTCTTTTTGAACATTATCAGACAAGTGGTAGCTTTCTGATAAAGTAATTTTAAAGTAAAGAGCAGGCTTTTGTATACTTACTGAATCATGAACAATATCACTTGCCTAACTCCCTCAGCAAGCAAGAAAAAGCAGCCAGTCTGTTTAACTCAACTCTGTTCAAAATCCGGTCTAACCTTTGATATTGGAGCTTTTTTTTTTTTTTTCTGAAACAGAAGTGGGAGGGGCTTACGGCATGCTGCAGTCAGGAATTGTCGATCGACAGGTGCTTTCACTTGTAGTCACCAAAGTCTCCAGTAACATAGAAAAAAAGTCTCTAGATTTGTCGCTTTAAAAGAAAAAAAAAAAAAAGTCGCTAGAAGGATCTGAAAACTCGCTAAATAAAGCAACAGAGTTGCTAATTTGGCAACACTGCAGCCATGTCCGCTACTGTGCTCCAGCCCGTGCGGAAACATTGTGCTGGACATTGGTTCCTCTTCAACAAAGGACCTGTGTGTGTGTTAGCATGAGAAACACAAAGTGTGCCGTGTGCACGTCATGAAATGCGTGTCGCACGGTCAATGTGTGAGACTTGAGAGGCCGTTGTTTATTTTATTTTTGATTTAGTTGTTGATTTACCCCGTCCATAAAACTCATAGATGAGCTGCATTGAGACCGGTCAGGTCCGGTCACATCGTTATGATGATTTGACCAGACCCGCCCCACAGAGAAGACCCCGCCCCCTCATTTGAATAAAAGAACATGAAATAAAAAGAGCTTAAAATGAAAAACGGGGTTAAAAAATAAAAGCCCCTGAAATATGTAAAGTAGCTTTACAAAATAAAAGTGTTACAAAATGACACTCCATTATTAAATAAATAAATCTTGACATGAATAAAAATAAATCTTGAAATAAATAAATAAATTTTTGGAAAAACAACAAAACATTTCTATTTAAATGTTTTATGTCATGGGGACATTTATTTATTTAATGGAATATTTATTAATAATTTTTAAACAACACTATTTATTTATTTAATTTTGAATGAAATGGCTCTCCATATGGCAGAGGATGCGTATTTAAATGTGAAAGGCTAAACTAAGTGACTGTGATGGTTTTACTGCAGAGTTCCAGCCTGGTGTTCCATGGAAGGGAATTGATCGAGTTGATCCCGAGTCTGACCCCTACATGACCCCTGGGAGCATGATGGGAAATGCAGTGTCCCCCAGTCTTAACGATACAGAGCACCAGTTGTTACAAGATAATAATGGTAGGCAGCTGCATGAGTGTATTGCCGTAGTACATTATTTAGCCGTTGCTAGTGTAAGTTTTATTTACACCATGTTGCACAATAAGAGATATTTTTGCTGTTTACTTTATATTTGAATTTTGCATGTATTATTTTTGTGTTGTAGGAAAATGTGATTTTTATGTGTACAAAAATCAAGATGTGCCGCCTTGTTCAGTAAAATGGAGATTGATTTCTGTGTTTAGTTTTAGTGGAGATTAGTCCATTTGTCCTTTTTGTGGCAGATTCCACCCCTTCCCTGAACACCTTGCTGCCTTCACCCTGTGCCTGGCCCTACAGTGCCTCAGAAAGCCCCCTCAACAATGCACACAACTCAGGTGACTACACAAGCGCAGATGCTCCACTTTTTGATCCACACCGTCACACACTGTACCTTTATCACTCTTCTCACAAGCATTGCACTTCTTATACAGTTTATGCATCAAAGCGTCAGTATTTTTTCAGATATTACCAAAGTAAGTCCCAACATTTTGGGTTTGTATCTTAGTTTCACGCTGCACTGGCACACCAATATTTCTCGAGCAGTGTTCTAGTTGCATCTTTTGTTCATGTACACTAATACCCGTCTTCTTTTCATCTTTCTCTCTACAGCAAAGTACACAGACTACAAGACCAGCTGGCCCCCAGAGCCCATTGGACACAAATACTGGAAAGCCGGTCGATGCACCAGCCAGGCTCAGATGTCCCGGCCTCCTCCTGGCCTCGCCAGTCAGAAGCAGCCAACATCACCTTCTCTTTGGTCGGGAGGAGCGCCTCAGTTGGCTGGCCGAGGCTGGGGAGGCGGCTCCAGCAACACAGGTAATGCTTTGGTCTTCATGATGATCCCTTTCTATTTGTAGAACTGTTTGAAGCAAACAAGCCTTGGCTTTCTTTTAGTGGCTGTGAGGGAAGTGCTGTAGGTTTGTGTTTACACAGAATAATCAAATCTTTTGTTTTCTTTCTCTGCAGGCTCGACCTGGAGTGACGGTAGCTCTCGGGAAAGCTGCTGGTTGGTGCTCAGTAACCTCACACCACAGGTGCACTCATTTGCTTTAATCTTGTGTGAAGGCTACAACTCTGTTGTGATCCATTTTTCTTCCGTAAGTTTCTCGACAAGATTCTCGTCCCGCGGTTTTCAAGCTATTTCACCAAATCATCTATCGATACATTCAGCTCCTTCAGGAGAAGGGTGTAAGACTTTTGGTATTGGTGCAACTTTAGCTTTTTCAAATATTTGACCTTTTCTGCCATTTTTTTCTCTCATAGAAAATTGATAGTTTAAGCTTCTTTCTGCCTTTTTAGCCACTTTTCAACTGGGTTTTTTTTTTTTTTTCTTCTTATTTCTGCATTTTTCAGAAAATTTACACTATTTTGTTCTAATTTCTGCTTCTTTCAGCCTAAATGAGCAAACATATTCTTTCTGCTTTCATCTGCTAATTTAAGCTTGTTCTACCTTTTCAGCTAGGTTTTTAGCTTTTTTTTTTTGCTAATTTCAGCTGTTTTCAGATTAATTCAAGTTTTTCGTGGTACTTTCTGCTACTTTCATCCTAATTAACTTCTTTCTGCTAATTTCAGCTTGTAATGCTCCTTTCAGCTTAATTATGCTAATTTCAGCTATTTCATTTTCTACTTAGCTGTTTTATGCTAATTTTAGCTTTTTCAGCTAATTCCACATTTTTTTAGTTCATTTCAGCTCTTTCTGCTTCCTTCTGGGAGTTTGTTTCTTTCTGCTTTTTTAGCTACTTTTCAGCTGTTTTTTGCAAATTTCATTTATTTTCAGATAATTTCAACTTTTTTATGCTCATTTCAGCTTCTTTCAGCAAAGATGTATTCTTTCTGCACATTTAAGCGTTTTCTACCTTTTCAGATAAATTTTTTAGTATTTTTATCTGATTTCAGCTGTTTTCAGATAGTCAAGTTTTTTGTGGTAATTTCTGCTACTTTCAGCCTAATTAACTTTTTTCTGCTAGTTTCAGCTTTTCTTCTATTTCACCTACTTTTTTTGCAGTTTTTGTACAAAATTGAGCTTTTTCAGCTAACTCCACATATTGTATCTAATTTCATCTTCTTCCACTTCCTTCTGGTACTTTAAGCTTCTTTCTGGCATTTCAGATACTTTTCAAAAAAAAAATTTCCGTGCTAATTTCAGCCTTTTATTTCCTCATATTTCTGCTCACTTCAGCTTATTTAAACCTAATTCAGCAAATATGTGTTCTTTCTGCTTTCTTCTTCAAACTTAGGCTTGTTCTTCTGTTTCAGCTACATTTCAGCATGGTTTAGCTCATTTTAGCTGTTTTTCAGCAAGTTCTTCTGCAATAAGCATTCACACTGTATTTTCGCAGGAAATGCAGTTTCTGTAGTTCTATTTAAAAATCATGATGCTTGACTTCAACTGACATTTTTAATGAAACAATAAATAAAAAATCTGACCAAACCAGATTTATGGGGAAATAAATGTTCTGAATTTCTCCTCTGTGCCACTGCTGCTTCTCTAAATGAGGGTTTGTATGTTTCTGCAGATTGATGGCTCGACTCTGAGGACCATCTGCCTGCAGCACGGCCCCCTGCTGACCTTTCACCTTGGCCTTACGCAGGGCACCGCTTTGATTCGCTATAACTCTAAACAGGAGGCAGCCAAGGCTCAGAGCGCCCTTCACATGTAAGGATGGGACAGATGTTGGAACAAACACCTAATCATGTCCTTCAACATTAAACATGTCACTAACTAGCACATACCTAAGAACAGCTAGATGATGGGAAATTACTTGTGAGCGCTCTCAAATACACGTAAAGATACAAAGCATCCTTTAGACATTTAAAGTGTTTACATGTTTTAGTCAACGTTTAAATGCTACAAACAGTTTTACCGGGGCTGATTTGTTTTTGTTTCAGGTGTGTTCTGGGTAACACCACCATCTTGGCAGAGTTTGTGAGTGAGGAGGACGTGGGGCGCTACATTGCACATTTAGGAGGAGCAGGGAGCGAAGGAACCTCAGCTGGCTCTGCAGGCTTAGAACCCACAGCGGCCTCCAGCGTCGGGTCGAGCAGCAACGGAGGGAACTGCGACAGGAGCGGAGCAGGAAGCAGTGGTGTAGGAGGAGGAGGTGGAGGAGGAGAGGGCGCCTCCGCGGTCGGAGGAGTCATGTCTTCCAGCTCAGGGTGGCAACGTCTGGACAGCACAGACAGCTCATCGGACCACGCCGCCTCCCAGGGACCTGGGCTCGGCATCTTCACCCAGTGGAGCAGCAACGGGACTGGAGTGGTGGGGGCCGCGGAGGCTGGAAGGCAGGGCCTCTGGGGGGGGATGAGCGGGGCAGGTTACCCCAGCAGCAGCCTCTGGGGTTCCCCGGCACTTGAGGATCGTCACCAGATGGGCAGCCCCGCCTCCCTTCTGCCTGGGGACCTGCTGGGCGGGGGGGCCGACTCCATCTGAGGGACCGACCGACGGGTTCGCCCGAGCTGTATTCCAAACGTCACGCTCTGCATTTATTTACAAGTACAGATGAAACGAAGCTGCATCCGACACGGAGACTACATGAACACTTGTTACCAAACATCACATTCAACTGTTTAAATGAAGACAACAGCAAAACTTGAACTGGGGGGGGGGGGGGTCATTCAACTTTTGAGGACTTTAGCTCTTTGTCTTTTTACTTCAAATCCCATCATCAGCATCCAGAGATCCAGTCGCTCAGGCATGCACTGTCAGCAGGCTCAGCCAGAGTCGCACATCTCCACAAGGTTAGCTGTTGCTGTTGTTCGTGTGCCACATGGTCGTTCTTTTCTAACTCGGTGTCGATCGCATCACCTGGACTTGCAGACTGAGCCCTCTCACACCTGGCTGGCATATTTGTACGTTAGTTTTCTTTTTTTAAAGCTTGAGATTGAAACAGATCTGCAGGAAAGGATGAGACATTTGTAGAACATTTGAGACAGCGTTACACTACTGAGTCAAAACGAAGCTGGTACTGACGTCTTGTTGGGGGAAACAAACGCCATCAAAGTGGGACCCAGGGTAAAAAAAAATAAATAAATGCCATAAGCCAAACTTGCACTATATGCCTCTGGATTTGTTTTTAGCTCATCCTTTACAAATCTGCTTTTATTTTTCGTGGTTTTTTTTTTTTTTAAACCGAGCTTCAACAAGTGAGGACCTTCCAGGACGACTGAAGGTTGCAGCAGCAGTGGCCTTGGCTACACACCTGCCATGTCAGCAGCATCACTCCCCCTCATCAGCTACTCACTGCTCTCTTATAGTTGAATATATCCTCTCTTCGTCAAATATTCTTTGTTCGAACAATATGTGAAACTGTGGAAATGTCCCCTTTTTTTTTGTCCTTTAAACACTGACCTCAGCTTGTGTTCTTTCTGGAGATATTGGTTCTTTATGGTCATGATGTAGCTCTATGGCTGTACGAGTCCCCCCCCCCCTCCCTCCCGCCTGCCTGCGTGTGCATGAAAAGAGCGACAAACGCAATGGAGGGTTACGATGTGATGAAAATGACAATAATATCAGGAGTGCGTGTTATTGCTACTACGTTGAATGTTTTTTTTAATGTCCAGGAGAGATTCATGAGTGTTTGCATACGCGTGTGTATGTGTGTGTGTGTTTGCGTTTTGAACTCTTATCGGTTCCAGACAGGGAAGTGAATACATGTTGGTGTGACGGCTCGCGTCTACTCTGAGCTGCAGCGCGTGGGTGAGACCGGTGTCGACCGTCTGGATAATGTGATGGCTAAAAACGTTCAAAAACATTGGCACTATTGCATACGTCTCTTAAGTTGTGATATATATTTTTTTAATTTTAGCAGCGTTCTGATCCTGTTTGTATTTTGTTTTCTGTCTAATGCAATAAGAGTGACGAAGCAAACAGAAGACATTCGTGTAAGGATGCCACGTCCCACCATACCAAGCTGAGCTGGAACAGTGTTTTACTGACACGTTAAAGACATTACCTGTTTATGTTCGACTGTGTTTTTCTTTTTATTATGCATTGATTTAAATTAAGTCGGTCTTTATTATCACTCCTGTTCAGGACGTTTTCATTTATATCAGATGTTACAAAAACAAATGGAGATAATTTAAAGCAGAAAAGAACAAGATAATAAAGGTTGAGTTGAAGTCTGCTCCTTTGGGTGGTCTGTGCCTCGTTTTTGCCTCATTGTTTTATTAAAGGCACGTTTTTTTTTATTTTTGTAAAATGAATTTAACTTTAAAATATACTTCCATATGAAACAATGGGCAAGCACGGTGGAACAGTTGGTAGAGCTGCTGCTTCTCAGCAAGAAGGTCACCGGCTCAAATCCTGGCCGGGGGCCTTTCTGAGTGGAGTTTGCATGTTCTCTCCGTGCATGCGTGGGTTTTTTCCGGTTACTCAGGTTTCCTTCCACAGACTAAAAACATGCATGTTAGGCTGATTGGTAACTAAATTGACCCTAGGTGAGAGTGAGAGAGTGAATCGTTGTTTGTGTGTCCCTGTGATGGACTGGAGACCTGTCCAGGATGTCCCCCGCTTATCACACAGTGACGAGGGAGTATCAGAGAAACTGAGACGTTTATTTTCTAAACGTCCCAGTGGCTTTTAAACCCCAAAATACATTACGGCAAAAACTGGTTCATCCCAAAGATCCAGTCCCCTGGCACAAACAGAGCAATGTTGTGTATGCTGTTCAGTGTCAGGAGGGCTGTGATCAGTCTTACATCGAGGAAACTAAACAGCCACTGGCCAAAAGGATGGCCCAGCACAGAAGATCAACATCATCAGGCCAGGACTCTGCGGTCTACACTCATCTCCAGGCCAGCGGTCACTCTTTCAGGGATGAAGATGTTCACATCCTGGACAGAGAGGAACGATGGTTTGAGAGAGGAGTAAAGGAGGCCATCTTTGTGAAGAGAAATCGTCCATCGTTAAACAGGGGTGGAGGCCTCCAGGTTCAACTGTCCCCCTCTTACAATGCTGTGATTGCTAGTATCACTCAGCCCTCTGTGAACAGTAAACAGCCATCAGTGTGCTAATGATCCATTGTTAGGCTGATGGTCCTTCTTGAGCATGTGATCAGCTGGTTTTGGTTGTCGGCAGCAAAACTGGTTGATCCACTCTGAGAAGGTGCTATTTAAGAGACTGAGCTGAATACAGCACCTCAGACTGAGGAAGTCTCTTGGATGAGAGACGAAACGTTTCTACATTTTTTTTGTTGATTTGCTTTGTTTTGTTTTTTTGAATGTCCAGAGGACCAGATTTAACTTCTTTAGATAAAGGCAAGCAGCGTGATCGGGTCCAAATTTGCTGCCGACAACTTCCTTGATTGTAGATAAAACCAGCACCAGCTGAATCCAAAAAGCAGGAACCAGTTATCGAAAATCCAATTAAATATGCGTCCTTAAAATCCACAGATGGCAGCAGAGATAGACACATCATCAAGTCTTCCAGTCGATGAGATATCCAGCTGCGTGCGTGCCAACAGGGTAAATCGGTTCGCCCAAAGCCTGTCTTCTCTTGAAGAAATGTTGTAAATTGAGATGAGGGACCAACTGGTCAAATATTTAGTTTGTAACTATGATACTTATAAATGGATGAATAACATGGTGAAAATATGACTTTGAAAAAAAAATTCTTATGAATGGCTAAATAAACCAAAAATATTGCTGTTAATTTTTCACTGTGTAACTTTACAAATGGCACCCCATATCTCCCGGTAGCTTTCCTTAAATAGAAACTATTTAAACTAATTTGACAATTGACTGAGCTTAATTTCCTGTTTGATAACTAGGATCAGTTGGAATGTATGGGATTAAACTGAAATGCTTTTTTATGGTGAAGTGCCTCGAGACGACATTTGTTGTGAATTGGTGCTATATAAATAAACTCAGTTGTTGTATTTTATACCTGGATTATTGAGCATGGACTTTGGTGTAAACTCAGTTGAATTTAATGTAAAACTATTAACACAACGCATTGCTAAATTAGTGTAAAATTAAATCAGTTACAAAGTTAAACCATCAAATAATATAGATACATAGATATATTTTTCCCTACACTGTAGTGTGATATAATTTTCTTTCATTGTGGTAATGGTAATGCTAGTATAGTACAATACTATTACTACCTATTTCTTTGTATTTTTGTCCCTGTAGGAGCATGTGGGCTCAACCGTGTTCATCAACTTGGTGGGAAGTTGTTAATAGCTCCTGGGATTAAATTAATTGTAAAAAAAAAAAAAAACTTCAGGATAACAAAAACCTCATTTCTGCATCTTTATAGTCACCCACTTACCACTTTTTTCTGAGTCTTTCTTGATCGTGCTCTGTTGATTCGGAGTCGCTCGATGCCAGGGTGGATGGCAGCGGAGGCTCTTCTTGGTAGGACTCCAGAACATGTGGACTGCTCGTGGGTTGAGTGCCAAGAACAGCATCTAGTTCATCGTACCAAGGAAACTTGTCCTTCGCTTCTCCTGAACTGCCACTTTTCCTTTTAAGCATGTCACATATTATGTATTGTTGGCAAAGTTTTTTTTTTTACCTTGGTGCAGCACTGAGCATCTGTACGAGGGAATCTCAACGTCTCCATTTTCACACTAATTAGCTTGAACAACAACCTTGTTTTTGTGAGTGGTTACAAGTAACTAAAACATTTTCAACTGACCATATTTATATGAGGGCCTGTATCTCCTCTTCACTCCTCATCTGACAACGAGCCATTTCTTGCGCTAGTAGTAGAAATGTGTTTGTTTTGGTTGTATTTACCCAGAATGCCCTGCGCTGTAGTCCACTCCCTGCTTTTGGAGCGATCTCCGGTCCGCTTGCATTCACAATGCATTCGAGCCGCGCTAGAGTTTACTTCATCCGGACCGAGACCTAGGTTTTTGAGTGGACCAGAGTTCACTTTTTTGGTTCGCATCAGAGTTCGACTGCACATTCACACCTCCCCAAATGAACTGGATTTTCTAGGCAAATGGACTAGAGTTCAATTAAAGCGGACCGAGCAGGGTTGGTGTGAATGCACCCTGTGTGGTTGCCATGGAGAACTTAATGAGCCACGGGCAGCAGTTTTTAACATTTCTTTTGATCTCTGCTCTTTTTAAACTTCGTACACAGTGTTTGTTTTCTCGTCAAAACGTCTCAGACCGTTTACAATAAAATTATATAAGAAAGTTGATGTTTGTTTATGTTAAAAACAACTAGAGAAATTACATTTCTTGCAAAAATACAGTGTGAATGATTATTGCAGAATAACTTGCTGAAAAACTGCTGAAATTAGCTTAAAAAAACATTCTGAAATGTAGCTGAAATGGAAAAAAAGAGCCTAAATTAGCAGAAGAAAGCAGAAAGAACATATATTTGCTGAATTAGGTTTAAATAAACAGAAATGAGCCTCAAAATTAATAAATTCATTAAAAAAGCTGAAATTAGCAACAAAAAGAGAAGGCTGAATAGTAGCTGAATAGCTGAAAAGGCAAAAAGAGACTAAAACTACCAGAAGGAAGCAGAAAGAGCTGAAATGATCTAAAAACAAAAGTGGAATTAGCTGAAAAGGCTAAAATTAGCATAAAAACAGCTAAATAGTAGCTGAAATAGCTGAAACCAGTGATATCTATATCTACTGAAATTAGTATAAAGAAGTTAATTAAGCTAATAGTAGCAGAAATTACAATGCAAAACTTGAATTTATTGAAAACAGTTAAAATTATCTTAAAAGGTAGCTGAACATGTAGAACAAGCTTAAATTAGCATAACAAAGCAGAAAGTAGAAAAGTAGCTAATAAAGCAGAAAGACACATAAATTACTGGAAGGCAGTGAAGAGCACATATTTGCTGAATTGTGCTGAAAAAAAAGAAATGAGTGCAAGAAGTATGGAGTTAGCTGAAAAAGCTAAAATTAGCCCGAAAACAGATAAATAGTAGCTGAAAGTAGCTGAAAAAGTTTAAATTTGCACAAGTAAGCTGAAAGAAGCTGAAGCAGAACAAACTGTGAAAGGAGCAGTAAAAAGTTGTAAACAGATCTAAAGATATAAAGGATGTAAAATGAGCTCAATTCATTTTCTATGAGAAAAAATGGCAGAAAAGGCTAAATATTTCAAAAAGCCAAAGTTGCACTAATACCAAAAGTCATAGCAACCTTCTTCTGAATGAGCTGAACATATATGATTTGTTGAAATCAGTGGCGATTTTAGCCTTGTTTTTGGGGATTCATCAAGCACCTTTAAATTTTAACTCAGCACCCCTGAAAAAAAAAAACCTAAAACAATTACGATTTTGTAAGGATACTCATTTCTCAAACCTTAGATTCACCAAAATATTTAATAAATTAGGAATAAATATAGACTAAATTATGACACAAACAGGCCAATAAAATGTATGATTTTTCTGCATGAGTCGGATCCTTGATTGACACCTGTCAATCAATCCAGTGGGCTTGTCAGCAACTGACCAATCGGTGATCTCAATTTGTTCTGAAGTAAAATGCCCCTTACCTTCAGGAGATGGAGGGGGGGAGAAGCAGTGCGTGCTCTATTCACACAAGGAGAGCTGTTGGTCAGGCTACTTCTTGTTATATTTGTTTATTTGTCATATGCAGGTTAACACAAGGTCAACAATGCAATGAAATGTTCAGGATGAGAAGAACCAGTTCGACTCACTAAAACAGGTTTCTCTTCTAAATGAGTCCGCGAGGCTCAATGAGACTAACCTGCATAAATAAAGGATGAATTAATTAAAAAGAAAAAAATTCTAAAGCATGCAATAAAAGTACAAAATAAAGTAAAGTGAAAAAGAAATATAATATTTACAAGGTCCAAAAGAAATATATTTAACAACATGGTAGAATATCAGGGTGCAAGTAGGATGAATTAGTATAAATAAGTATTTCACAGGTATTAATATTAACTTAATATTAGCTTTGCTGTGCTGAGCTCTCTAAAATAGTTATTGAACCAAGTGTTTACTTATGTAGGTAAACGTAGATGTTTAAAAATCATGTTAAACCACACCAGAATGCGTCTACTTTATTCAGAGTTTTCTGGTGGTGGACCCCCCCCCCCCCCCACACACACACACACACACACACACACACCAGTGTATTTCTCCTCCCCATATTACAAATGCTTCTGACGCCAATGGAGCCAAGAGTCATTCGTTGTCAGCAGAGGGGGGCTGGGCGCCCCTAAAGGTCAGATTCTAGGATCGCCCCTGCTTGAAATAGCACAAAAATTGTGGAAGGCGAAAAATGTACGGGAGAAAAGTGGGTCACAACAGTGAGAATGCTTCATAAACATTCACACTGTTAGGTTTATGTGTGCGTGCCGTGTGAAACGTGACAAAGTGTTTAATGAGGTTTCGCGGCGGGCTGAGCCTTTAAGTCGATCCGGGCATCTCGGCAGGTCTGCGGATGACATCATTGATTCTGTTCGCGGTGTAAACGGAGAGGACTGGGTGTGAGACGCTGCAGGCACGGAATGACCTGCTCTCATCCTCGCAGAGAACAAGTGCAATAAATTACAACTTCGTGGGGCCCGCTGCAGCTTTTTGTTTTTAGTGGGTTTCACGTGGAGGCTCACGGATCTCCAAGGTGATGAGCCGTCCCGAGCCGCGGACACACGCCGCTGTCCATGATCCTGAGTGAGGGGACGGAGGCACCACAGGCCGGTGAGGAGGTGGGGCAGGAGTGTGTGTTGTTCGGTCAAGGTAAACTGCAGGTGTGTGTGTGTGTGTGTGTGGTGGAGGGGCGCGGTTTTATGATGTCCGACTGCAGCTCTGGTAGATCTGGGCCATAAACAAACATCACCGTGTCTCCTTTCTGCTGCAGTTTAGTAAAAAAAATAATTAAAATAAAATGACAGACTGAGAAAAACACGATCAAATAAAGACATGCATGTCGCCCGCCGTCTGTCAGGAACATTCTAATGAGAAAACACGGACTTTTGGTCGAACCTCGTTAATGACGTCATCTGTTTACAATCGGAGTATGCGTTGAAGACGACTCTCAGCTACCGCCACACCCAGTGTAAGCTCAAGACGCTTGACTGAGGCACAACCATATTTGTGTCGACTAAGGTTGAGTAGCTGTGGCGGCCATGTTGAATTTGGCTGGCTCCAATAGATAATGAGATGTAGAGGCATTTACATCCAGTCCTTTCTGAGAGCTCCATTAGAATCGGTCCATTGGTGGGTGAGATATTTTACTAACAAATACAAACAGAGGCACCAACAACATCCTGTGTTCATCTTCTCTACATTATTTTAGCATTGGATGCTAAAGACTTGTGCTGCACTTAGACCCGTCTAAAGCTTTTGACACTGTGGATCATAACATTATGTCATAAGCTCTCAGACATTGGTTTCTCAGATCACACTATTGGCTTGTTGCCTAATTATCTCTCAGATTGGAGGCAATGTGTTCAGCATGGTACAGCTGTCTAACTGTTAACAATGGTGTACCACAAGGCTCAGTCTTGGGACCCACCCTCTTTACAATCTACATAGATTGCTAAGGTTTTCCAGCTTTTACAGTCTGCTTTTGACATCATCCAGTCAGATTTGTTCCACCTCAAACTTGTGCTAAATGCTGATAAAACCAAAGGGATGTTGTTTTCAAACAGGAAGTCGGTCCCAGCAGTTCTTCCTTCTATTTTATTTCGAATTGTGTGCCTTTTGAGTTTGTCGACTCATAAATACTTGGATATCGTGGTCGATTCGCATCCCTCTTTTAAGCCTCATGTCGAAAACTTGGTAAAGACATTGAAAGTAAAACTGGGTTTCGTTTTCAGAAATCGATCTTGTCTAACTCAGAATGCTAGGAAACGCCTTGTAACTACGACTTTCCTTCCCTCCATTGATTACGGTGACATTATTTACATGATGCTCCTACAAGAACCCTGCAGATGTTGGATGCTGTCTATCATGGTGCACTAAGATTCATAACTGATTGTAATACCATACCCACCACTGCACCCTGTATTCACTGGTTAACTGGTCATCATTAACTTCACACAGACTCTCTCACTGGTACATTTTCATCTTTAAATCACTTCTTGGTCTGCTGCCTTCATACATCTCCTCCTACATGTCTCTGCGTGAGTGCAGCTACAGCGTGCGCTCTCAGGACATTATTACCTGCAGTGTTCCCTCAGTGAGGACTGAACTTGGAAAAAGGGCCTTCTCCTACTCTGCTCCTGTTTCCTGGAATATCTTTCCACATCTGAAGCTCTCGACCTTGACCTCTCTAAGTGGCTTTAAACATCTTTTAAGTTCCTGGCAAAAACCAACACAGACTGTTTTTAATATTCTACCTTGCTTTATAATGTATGTTTTTGTTTTCTTTTTATATAATTTCTTCTATTTACTTTTCATTTTATATTCTTTTTATATGACCGTCTATTGATGTCTGTATCTCTTCAGTGTTCTTTGTTTAAAACAGTCCCTCTTGTAAATGAGTCCTCGTGGCTCAGTGAGACTAATCTGGATAAATAAAGGTTGAATGAAAAAAAAAAAATTCACCCTATAAAATCTTCCAGATTTGATAGTTGATGTTGGAATGTGTACACTGGGCTCTTGACTGGAGGAGGATGGAGGTTTGGTCACTTTACTGAACCACTGATTCACATTAGGCAGCATCACTCTGTATGAATGCTGCTTTAGTACTAAAAAAAAAAACAAAAAAAAAAAAAAACGTTGTAAGCTCTGCACCAGATGACATGATTTAACCTTTTTTGATGCTTTAGTACTGTTTCACTTTATTTTTTGGCTTCTCTACCATACTGTTTTGGACATTAAATTACCTCTGCATAATTTCTTATGCTACATTTAGCTTTTAGCTGTTCTTTTGTTTCTTTTAGCTTTTTTAGTGTTGTTACTTTTAGCTTTTAGATAGGGTTTTACTCATACCTTTTTAGGTAGTGTTTTACTCCTTTTCTCTTTAAGCTAGCATTTTGTTACTTTTACCTTTTTAGCTAGTGTTTTGCTCTCTTTTAAACTAGTGTTTTGCTCCCTTTTTAGCTATTATTTTGCTCTCTTTTTAGCTATTGTTTTACTCTCTTTAGCTAGTATTTTGCTATCTTTTAGCTATTATTTTGATTTCTTTTTAGCTAGTATTTCGCGCTCTTTTGAACTAGTGTTTTGCTCTCTTTTAAGCTAGTGTTTTGCTCCTTTTTAGCTATTATTTTGCTCTCTTTTTAGCTATTGTTTACAATCTTTTAAGCTAGTATTTTGCTATCTTTTAGCTATTATTTTGATTTCTTTTTAGCTAGTATTTCGCTCTCTTTTGAACTAGTGTTTTGCTC